TGAGTTGGCTTCAGGTAAGATAAGTACATATTACAATGGAAAATGTAATGGACATGACTCTTTTGAGGGCCCTTCTGTAAAGTGAAACACTTGTGCTGAGTAGAGCTGTCCTGCTGGAGGGCAAAGCACAGGCACAACAAGCAGATGCCCAGGCAGCTGGGAGAAGGAGGTAGCTGTGGACCCACAGCCTGCTTGCGAGGACCAGTGTTCCAAATGACTGCACTAGTCAAGCTGCCCCTCTGCAGATCCCACTTTCTGCCTCCTCTCATGGCCATCAGGAAAAAGGGTTCAGCACATCTGAGGCCTGCTACTAGGAATGATGGATGACTGTCAGCTCTGTTCCTGTTCAGCCTCCCCCCAATACTCTGATTACTCTCAGTTTCTAATACCTGATGTTTCACTTCTTTTACTTTACTGCCTCTTATACCCACTTTCATCCCTTCTTAGGGCTGCAGCAAAACCAAACAGAGCAAACTGGGGTCTTCAAAGGTGTTCTACTTTTTTCTTTACTGTGCCCCAAATTGTTTCCTAGCTCCATAGCAGGAAGGGGATATTTTCCTTGTGAGAAGACCATGCACAAGCTTGTGTAGGGGCTGCTCATGTACAGTGGGGAGAGCAATTGCTATAGAGAGGAGGCAAAGATGTGACTATGAGCAGTTTACCTATGGCACAGAAAGTCTTAAGTCTCAGCAAGGGGTCATGGGGGAAATTAATTCAAAGTAGTAGATGTGGGGGAGATAACCCAAAGTAAAGAACAGATGCAAGACAGGACAGTGCCAGAAGTTGGGAGAATGTGGTTTGAGAGAAGAAGGGAGATTTCCCTCGCCTCATGCCTCCATGATCCATGCCAGCCTGTCTCTGCGCCCTTGAGCTGCCCTATGCCCACTGCAGAACTGAGTTCTGCTGCTCCACCTTCCAAAGGATGAAGTCAGAATAAGTTAATTTGTTTTCATTTGGGGGATAGTGAGATTCAGTTTTATCAAGGCTGCTCTGAAGTTTGAGTTGGCTCCAAATGCTGTCCTTGTCTCTGCCTCTGCTGTGGAGGGCATTCAGAAGTATGGAGCATTGCCATGAGGCACTTACACCCCTGATATACCGAATTGCTGCAATAGCTACATGCAGCTCTGGTTACCACCACCCTCCAGGTGCTTTTACTGATTCTGTGGAGTATTATTTTCCCCTGGATCAGTTGGATGGGAATAGGTTTAAAGTCATCTTTTGATCTCTACTATATGCCATAGTCTTGTTCCAGTCATAGAACAACTGAGACAGAAAATGTGCCATTGTCTGTACAATAATGAAACACTGAACACATGGAAATCTTATTAGTGTTTCCTGGACCTTAGCTGTCATTTCATTTGCTCTGGAATTCCTTCCATACATCCATGACAAAGGTTTAAGGCTGAGTTTCTTGCCGCTTCAAATGCATTAGGTGTTCCTCAGACAAAAGTCTGTCAACCATACTGAAGCACCTAAAAGGATGTGTTTATTTCTGAGAATAATATTTTAAATAAAATTAGTGTTGTTAAGCTTAGTCTTGAGAGAGAAAAGCACAGTACTAGAATTTCGTGGGGTTTTCTTTCCTGATGAATGTTAGACAAATGTATCTGTTTTTTGTAAAATTCTTTTTCTACTTCTGTTTTTTGTAAACTTCTTTTTCTACTTCTGTTTTTTGTATCTCCTCATTCTAAACAAGCCTGCCCATTTCTCAACTGTGATTTTTCAGAAATTGATATACTTTGCAATTCATTTTTCCATGTATAAATATACACAATATGATAATATTAATTTACTGTAATTGCAAATTATGTAGTTAATGTAATTTCCATTAGTTGTGCCTGAAAGCTTTTACTGTTTTATTAACAAAAACCATAGGAATTCTTCTTGAAGAGTTTCCTTCACAGGTTCGATGGTTATGAATTACACTGGCAGATCTGCAATTCCACTAGGCAAAGGATCAACATTATCCATACTGATACCCAGTGTTTGTCCCATACCACATTTATGTGGGTTGAATTCTGTTGGAAGAATGCTTCTAATGGATTATGATCTTCTGGCATTGTGCAGGTATCTTTAATAACTGTTGTGGCAGCAACCAAAAAGGGTGAGACATTTCTGCTTTAAGAGTACTCATAAAGAGTTTTCTAATTGGTGTCTTTATATCTATGGTCCTTTGCATCCCAGTCAGCATGAACTACAAATCTTTCAGTGCAGTGTAATTTCTGGTATTTCAGTGACTATGGGAAAAGCATTTTACTTATTTGGTGATTAATTGTTGCCTTTTCCATTTAACTAACTGTCACTTATAAAAAGTCATAAGTCTTTTCAGAGTTATCTGTTCATAGAACATGAACATTTTTACAAGAAAAGTAATTTCCTTGCAGTGTTGCATTTTTTCCCCCATAGTTCTTCCGTCTTTATTTTGGCACTTTCATCTGTGTTCACCAGTTTCCTTACATTGTTTTTCTGTCAAGGCCTGCAATTGCTCAGTTAAATTTGTGTGAGATTTGTCTATAGCTATTTTGAATCAACGAAGAGATCCTGTCTCTCTCATAAACTAATGTATCTTTCTGTCTTTCACACAAAGCCATGTCATTATATGAAATCGAGGCACAGAAAATCACTTCTGTGCGTTTAGTTTGCTCTTGTGAATTGTGATCTGGTAAAAAGGAGGCAAACCTAGAATTTGTGCTGTCTTAATAAAGTCATTTAATAATATGAAGTTCATAAACACAATATGTGTTATCTCACTTACTTGCATTTCTGGGGTTTAAGTTACTTTATAAATCAATTCAGTATTTAGATTTGCATGAAATGAAAATACTTACAGATTATCCACTTATATTTCTGAAATACAGGTGCCACAGTAAGTAGATTAGAAATGGCATTTACAGGGCTTTGTTTTCAGACAGTAATTTTCAGCTTCATGCATAACAGATCTGTTGTCTAGCTTTGGAAGTTTTAGATGGCTGCTAAAGCTGGATCCAAGAACTTTGGATGGTAGGAGGCAAAGGGGTGTAAAGATAGCAGATTTGCAGGTCTTGAAATTACACCACTGTGCATGGGAAACTGTGGTTCTCTTTTCTCATGTCTTCTGTGAAAGTGACCGCCAAATATATTCTTTAGTGTCATGTTGTTAGCAAAAATTATAAAATAGTAATTAAAACTTTTATAGGATGAAAAAGGGGAATCAATAAATGCTGCATACTTTTCAGTATTCTGTAGCCAATTCTGTAAGTCCTTAATCAGTGATGAAACACAGAACAAAACAGACACATGCTTTGAAAAGAAGGTCCACAGAGGGATTTATATTTAATTTTTTCCCCATATCCAACTATTCTCCTTTAAAAAATGACAAGTTTATAGTCTTCAGAGAGAAAGATATTTCTCTGAAGTAGCTCATATATGACTAAAACCAAAATGGGACTGTGCAAGCCAAGCCATGATTCGCAAGAAAGTTACCTGTCAAGGGAGTGCTTATAGCTGAGGCAGGAGCCCCTTGCATTTCCCCAGATTGCTTGGCAAACCCTGTAGCCAGCAGAAGTGCTAAAGTAATAGTGGTGTAGCGGCTTTTAGCTGACCGAGTTGTAAATGGGAATTACAAGTTGCTCATAATTCCTGGAGATTTAATATCAAGTTAATTCGTAATCGTTGCGACACCTTAACTAGTGGCTCATCATCGCTTCTAATGTAACTAATTTCATATTCTGTTACCCATTCTTCCCACCAAGATAACTTGAAACTCCTTCAATGCAGTAGCTTTCCTGTGCAATCCAAAGCATTTTGTTCCTTGCAGAACTATTTCTTTTATACAGTGTGCAGAATAGAAGATGTAAATCGTATTTTCCTCTCATATAATTATGATTAAGTCTCAAATGAAGGGAAAAATCTACCTTGATTTTTCTTTGCACATGATTCTCTTTACAACTCAGAACTTACAACATATTCGTTAGGGTACCTTGGAGTTTATTCACATGTAGAGGAAAATTGTTTAATAGCCAATAGCTGTTCTCCCAGAATAGGCTAAATAGATCAGGGGAAAGGTGGGGGAAACAATGCACCCAAATAAGGTCATCTGGTCACAGTGATTAGGACATAGAAATAGTTCTTTTCAAAGAGGTAGCATATAGCACAAATTATTACAAGGATCTGAACTAATTTTGGTAATGTAAACATTGGTGTGAAATAACTGCAGTCCCGTCCATACTTCATTCAAACAAAAGTAGATGCATTTCAGTCTGGATTTGATAAAATGCTGTCTCTTTCTAATGTGGTTTGGCTGGCTAGTGAAAACCATAGGATTTTGACCTGTTTGAAAGGTTCTAGTGGATGATACAAAGTGTTTATCCAGCTGGGCATGTTGTGACAGAAATAGGCATAAACACTGTTTGCAAATTTATTTCAAAGAACATTTTATTTGGCATAAGTTTTGAATCTTGATGTAATCATGTGTCCTGAACATTTTCTCTCATTGGCCTGTAAATAATTATTTCTAGCATATTCTGAGCAAAATGGAAAGCAAAGAAGTCCTAGATAGACCAGGCACCTTTTCTGTATTGCTTTTCTGATGATTTTGTCTTCATTTAATAGACCACATTTTCTTGAGCACTTCAAAATACTTCTCATCCCCCAGTGACCTGAGAATCAAGAAAATGTCATGTTAGTGACTACTAATTAGTGGACCCAGAGAGGAGCCTCTCCTGGCCTTTCAACCTTCCAGAGGCAGCAACAGAAGCTGTCACATGTATCATACAAAGAAAACAAGCATTTGCCATGTTTGGGAGTTTGTTCTGGATTTTTTTTTCCTAGGGTGTACATAGTAGCACAGGATCTGTTGAGACTATAGGTGAATTTGTATGTTAGGAGGAAATTAACCAACAATAGAGCATTTGCATTTATTTCTCCTTTTCCATGCTTAACATACGTCTTCTGTTACCCAGTTCTTATTGAACAAGTCTGTGCAAGTAATATTAATCTGTTTTATTATTTATAATTTTCAGGTCTTTAAAATAGAGGTGCTAATGAGTGGAAGGAAACATTTTGTGGAGAAGAGGTACAGTGAATTCCATGCACTTCATAAAAAGGTAGTAATTTTCTTTATAAGATATAACTTTGTTTTGCCTTAGTTGTGATGTTTTCCTTTTTCAAAATTGTTACTGTACATGGTTTATCTTAAATACGTCTTGTAATTCATGTATCTGGAAATGAGTTCCCAACCAACTCGAATTCTTCTTTTTGTGAAGGAGAGTGATGACTTCTCACATGTTATTAACTTTCATTTTCTTTTTTATTATTGTTTACATGTTGTATTGCTAAAATGCTGTCTGTAGTACGGTTTTCTTTCCTTCGTGTAAAATCACAAAATAAGATGCATTCCCATAGCAAATAAATACGTTACTTGGTTTTATTCAGTTAGGCAAATAACTTGCTAGCTCTTTAAATTGTGTTGCGAACCTGCTATATACAAAGCTGAAAAAACAACTCTCATACACCAGAAAGTAGACATGAAGAAGACTGACTAGAGCATCTCACTCTGCTGTTCTTCATATAATGAATGTGATATAAGATACAAGATACCTGATAACTTTGTCTCCTGAATCATCTTAATAATGTCTAACAAGGAACTCAGTACTTTCAAGTTTGGTTATCCACTAATTGTTCAGCTGAAAGGCTTATGGAGGCCAAGTGTTGAGAAGGAAAATTCTGGAACAGAGTTACAGCCCATTGCCAGAGTTGAACTGCAATGAAGAGCAGCTGTCCTTCACTCCTAGGACCTGGGTCAGCTGGACATCTGTGAGTTTGTTAGCTCTCACTGACAGCGGAGTTGTGCACACTCAACTGCTTTGATTGGTACTGCTTGCCTTAAGTATGGAAAAGCTTCTCTACAAGCAACAAAGAGCACAGGCATTTACAGCTCCTGCGACTGCAGCGTCAGAGGAGCTTACCTATGCCAGCATGTATGCTGGTGGTCCTGAATCAGCTCAGGAATCATCTCATTCAGGGAAGAAGCATTATACTGGTGGCAGAGAGGATGGTTTTACCAGCCATATGTGGTTATGGATATAAGCAAGCTCATGTCAACAAAAGGCAACTATTAAACCATCAGTTTGTTGGCCCTAAAAAGTCCAAAGAGCAAGAGTATATTTTGCTTAACTGAACTGTAATTAAGATGTGCAAGTATTTCTTTCCTTTTTACTTCTTGCCCCAGTTGTGGTATCAGCTGTCACTTTTTAATATTTCCTTGTTTATTGTTTTAATTCAGATGTGTCTCAGATATTTTCCCCCTTGTACTCACATTAAATATGATACCTCATGAACTACAGTGTCAGAATTAGTGGTACAACTTGCCCACCAGCAAGCCTTGCAATACACATGTGCTTTATTTTACATTTGAGACTGATACTGCAATTGAAAGTGAAGCAGCTGAGCAGAGATTATACAACTAAGTTAGGAAGCATTTAGAGAGGAAAATAGGGATTTATATGCTTAAAATGTGCCCTGCCCATGGCTAGAATAGAATAGAATAGAATAGAACAGAATAGAATGGAATGGAATAGAACAGAGTATTTTCAGTTGCCAGGGACCTACAAGGATCATATAGTCCAACTGCCTGACCCCTTCAGGGCTGACCAAAAGTTTACGCGTGTTATAAAGGGCATATGAGTCTAAACCACTGATACATTTAAGGCATCGACCACCTCTCCAGGAAGCCTGTTGTGGTCTTTCACCACCCTCTCATTAAAAGAAATGCTGCCTTATGTCCATTCTGAACCTTTCCCTAGTGCATCTTTGAACCATTCCCTCATGTCCTGGCACTGGGTGCTAGGGATCAGACTTCAGCACCTCAGTCTCCACTTTCCCTCCTCAGGAAGCTGCAGAGAGCAATGAGGTCATCCCTCAGCCTCCTTGTCTCCAAACAAGACAAACCCAGAGCTGCCAGCCACTCCTCACAGGACATGCCTTCCATCCCCACCACCAGCTTTGTGCCCTGCTCTGGACACATTCAAGGACCCCCACATCCTTCAGCTGTGGGGCCAGAACTGCACACATTACTCAGGCTGCACCATCACTGAATCAGAATTTGGCTGTTGGATTAAAATGTTATTGGAGGATGAGCAAGGAGAGTGGATATGTTGTGTGGCTCCGTAAGTTTATCCTTCACAGTGAAAAATTCTAAAAATAAAACTTCACATTTTTATGTGAAAAATAAAAACGGGGAATTAAAATTACAGGAGCAATTGGAACTGGAATGTAGTATTTCTCACACACACACACTTTATTATGACATGCAGTGTAGATTATAAATGATGAGCTATAAAGCACAAGGAGAGAAACATGGAGGGTTTGTGTTTGTATCTAGCACCTTTAACATTTAAAGGGTCTTAAATAAGTTTGCCAACCTCCCCACATGGATAAAGCATTTCTTTCTTATATTACTGGGAGAGATAAGACATGATCTAGTTTTCAAGGCCAGGCTGGACAGGGCTTTGAGCAACATGGTCTAGTGGAAGGTGTCCCTGCCCATGGCAGGGGGTTGGAACTGCGTGAGATTTAAGGTCTCTTCCAACCCAAACATTCTGTGATTTATGAATACAGCAGGATAATCACCTATTTTGATGAGTTGGCCATGCTGTGTGTGATGCACTCCAGGATGGGATTTGCCCTCTTGTCTGTCAGGACACACTGCTGACTGACACTTAGCTGCTGTCAACCAGCTCCCTAGATTCATTTCTGCAGAGCTGCTCCACAACCACTCCTCTCCCAGTTTATACTTGTACCTGGTACTACTCCATCCCAGGTGCAGATTCTGGCATTTAGACTTGTTAAATTTCATCCCATGAATCATTGCCCAAGACTCAGATCTATCTAGATCCCTCTGTAAGACCTGTTGTCCCTCGAGAGTCAACAGCACCTCCCGGTTTGCCATCATCAGCAAACTTGCTAATGATGCATTCCAGTCTTGCATCCAGATCATTTATAAAAATATTGGACAGAACTGTTGTTAGAATTGAGCCCTGAGGAACGCTGCCGGTGACCAGCTGTCAGCCAGAAGTAGCCCATTTGCTACGAATCTTTGAGCTCTGCACTTCAGCTAGTTCTTCACCCAGCGTATCGTGAACCTGCTCATTTCACAGCTGGGCAACTTGTCCAGTGGGATGCTGTGAGACGACAGTATCAAAAACCTAATTAATATCCACAAAAGCTACAGACACTGCCTTCCTTTCATCCACTAGGTTGGTGACCTTACCAGAGTTGGGCTTGGTAAGCCTGAAGAAGAGAAGGCTCCAGGGAGACCTTACAGCAGCCTTCCAATACCTTAAGGGGGCCTACAAGAAGAAGGACTTTTTACAAGGGCATGTAGTGACAGGAAAAGGGGGAATGGCTTTAAACTGACAGTGAGGAAATTTAGATTAGACATTAGGAAGAAGTTCTTTGATGTGAGGGTGTTGAGGTAGTGGCTCAGGTTGCCCACAGAAGCTGTGACTGCCCCATCCTCACTCTTCAGTTTGTTCCATCTGCTTGTTTATATTACTTTGTAAACTTGATAGTGACTTTTCTTTATTTGTTCCTTGTCCCTGGCAAAGCACCCAGAGTATTTTGCAACAACATACCTCTTTTCTTAAGTCTTACTTTTTGAAGCTGTAGTAAAATTTTAGTAGACATGTTTGAACAGCTCATGCTCTGAAACTTTCTTAGTACTTTCAGTGTTACAGTAATACTGGAAAAAGCGTTCTCTGGTAATACAGCATGCAATTTCACCCTTCTCTGTTTTGTGTTAGAGCATAAAATCTCAATGCTGTTAAAAAAGTAGGATGTGTATTTGAACAGTTTTTATTGGAGAAGAGTATTTTGCACTTGTATCTTGATTGTTCTTTGTGAACAGTATGTTCACATCTTATGACACTATTTATACTCAGGTGCAGATACCAGTGTGTTTTCAGCATGCTAGTAAGGTATTTATTTTTTGTTTCTCTCTTACTCATTAATTTAAAATGTAAATTTCACTCTAAATTGCTGTGAGTACTTGGTAATTGGAAAGGTATCTTTCGACTTGCGCATATTCAAGGTGCCCTAAGTGCTGGAGACGTCTGTAGTGAGCTGGGGAAACAAAGCTTCTGTAGAGAACAACCATGATAGAAAATGGGAATAAAGGCTGAAGGGGAGATTGTGCCTTTCACCAGGGAAGGGCATACTCATCTAGCATTGTATGAAGGAAGGAGGACTCCATATAAAAGATTACTCATTCATCAGAATGCCAATTAATGTTTTGATTAATTTTTTTATTATTATTTTTTAAAGCAAAGACATCTCCAAGAACACAGGTGAATATTTCTCCTTCCTGGGTTCAACATTTTTTACATTCCAGTTGTGTAAAAAAGTAAAGCCCTGCTTCTTGTGCCATCTGGCTGTAGTGAAAAGATTTAAAATCTTTTCAAGGCTACACCAGGAGTACAGATTATTTCCTTGACAGAAACTATCCACTGCTGATTTTTTTAAAAAATTTTGCATAGGCCATTGTACTTTGCCCTGGTTATGAAAGGCAAACCGGGCCATTCAAGCTATTCACTATTCACATTACAGTATTTTATTCAAGTCTGAACAAAAGTCTTATTATTCTCTTATGGAGAGCTTTTTAGAAAGAATTAAATTCTTTCTACATGTATAGAATAGTTAAAAATGCAATCATCTATTGCCTATTTATTTTTTATACTTTTCTTCCTGTACATTTTTAAATATTGTTAGTTCTTTTTAAGCACCAGAATGCTAGAAAGTGACAGCATTACAGCTACTGCAGAGAAATCTCTGAAAATCTTAAGCTTTTTATACCCTGCTTTGCAAGTTATTTATAATTTTAGAATAATTAGTGTACATTATGAATCATACTGTCTTCATAGTTGGACAAATAATTCTTTAGTTGGTAATTTGTGCCATCTTTTAGTCTTGCAGGAAATAGAGACTACAGTATGTCAAATAGGCATTAGGTCAGTGTTATGGACCTAATGTGTAACACAGTAGGAAGATATAACACAGTAATTGTGCTCAGATAAACAGTTGTTTTGTAGGCACAGCTCTGAAGAAATATAGCTACCGCATACATAGATTTGCTTAATATTCTTTGACATTGTAATAATTATTTGTTGCAGTGTATTATTTCAAGCATAAGAAAGTGGACTTATTTACTTCTACATCTGCAAGCATGTTCTTTATACCTACACATAGTACCTGTGCTTGCATATTTAAGCAATTGGGTTTTGGATGCTTTATGTAAGAGGGCCACAGAGCACAAAAGGATTGTTAATCATGAGTTGATGGTACCAGCCACAGAGCATTTATCCTGCAAGCAGCTAGGCCTTGGTGGACGCTTGTTTTGTTTCAGATTTGTCTCCTCTCATCTGGAGCATTCTCCTCATTTGTTATTCACCTGCAGGTGCTGTCATAGTTCGCAACAGCTGTGACCATAGTTTTTTCAACATTCGCAACCAATTTAGATGAAAACATGGGGGTTTATATTCCGGCTTTAAGATCAGTCAGTAAAAGAACATGGATTTGGGGTTTTGCTTTGGTGGGTTGTTTTCTCATTTCATGTTTAATTGTAATTTAGCACTGTTAAGAAATAAGGAAGTGGCAAAATGTTTCCAGAGCAATTGAGGTTTCCTTGCTGTAGCTTTGTTACTTGTGATTGTAGAGACGTTGATATGTTGGCACTGCTTTTTCCTATAGTGACATCTCAGCAAGCTCAAAAATGAAATGTAAATTCTCAGTCTCCCATGGGTATGCATGTCAAAGTCAATTTTGAGTTTCTTTCCATGCATTCCTTGCCTCAGATTTACTCAGAGGCAATATCCAAGAGAAGGAATGTCTAGTGTCACCTTCTATTAAAATGCAGTAAAGTCTATTTCAGTTATCATTTTTGTGCTGTAGTTCTGAGGAAAACATTAATATTTTTGTGTTTTGAAAAAATACATTGCTCCAGCAAGAGGATTTTTAGTGTTGTCAGAATGTGTTTGTGTCCATCGGTATGCACTCATGTATTCATATACACGTTTCCATATATATCTGTGAAAGCTTTCCTATGGGAATTTTTAGAGGAATAATTATGGAGAACTACTGGAAATATATTCAGTGATGATCTTTCTATTTCTCAGTATAAGATATTAAACACAACTGTCAATCTGTTGGTGCAATATGAGAACATGGATGTTTTTCTCTCTTGATTGCTGGCTCTCCAGAGAAATGGTTAGCTCTCCTCTGTGTACTTCTTCCACCTGTTCATAGTTGCCTAAATCCAGAGTTCCAAATTGTCACCGTGTTTTGTCAGTGCACTTAGCAAAGTAATACCTGGGTATGTTGCAGTGACATTGTGAGGTATCATCTCAGGTTGACTACTGGGGCACTCATTTCAAGTACTCTCATGTAGCTGTTGTCATTTTGTTTTAAGGCAGTTAGTCACAACAAATTGGTTGTAGAGTTCCTCTTCACTGCCCAGGGCAGCTAGACCTGGAGATTTGTAATGGCAACATGTAGGTATGAAGTATTCTGTTACTTCAGTGAGCTAGTGGTGAGTAATTTCATTGCTGTGGTGGTGTACTTTATGCATTATTATTTTACCTGTACTGCTTCATCTCTAACAGAAATCTCTAGTTTACTTTAAGGAGATGCTATTATACTTTCTTTCTTTTCTGCATTTCTTTTCATTTGCAGCTCAAGAAATTCATAAGAACTCCAGAGATCCCTTCAAAGCACGTGAGAAACTGGATCCCCAAAGTTCTGGAGCAGCGACGGCAAGGCTTGGAGTTGTACTTGCAGGTGAGTCTCCTCTCAGCACTGTGAAAGTAAAATCAGCATCCATTTTCAAAGTGGTGGCGTCCAAAGCATTTGAAGGTATGAAGTGAGGTGGGTTTTTGACAGGCAATTTTAGAGGTGGGAAATGAGCCGGAGACTTACCAGCAATGATGATTTCTCTTCACTCTGCAAGCATAGCAGAAATCCAGACTGCTCTGTGTTTTTGTTCCAAATTCATGCAAAAGTTGCTGACTGACTTTGGTGTACCTACTAGTACCTTATTTTCCTGTGCCTGAAATGGGGAGAATAATGTTGTTGTTCTGATTGTACCAATCAAAAGTGTTGCAGAAGAGATAAGAGGAGGCTTTATTTAACTCAGCTTTATTTAAACAGAGTACGGAAGAATCAGCTCATCAAATTTATGTCCCTCTATTGTACATGCCTGTATCTGAATTGTTCATCTAGTTGAAATAGTCACCTGTCATCCTATATTCATCTCAGCTGGTTTGGAAACTTGCATTTAAACTCCCAGATTCTACCTATTTGGATTCTGATTTTGCTACAGACTGTGAAAGGATTTTTCAGGAGTGAGTCAGACATACAGACATATAAATATACCAGTGATAAATACCAGCCTTTTTTAATAAATGGAATTTCTACTTCCACCATGATTGCTTTAAAAATCCCTTGTGGTGTAGTTTCACAGCCGTCTCTCTCGTGACAAAGCCAGATTAAGGTGTTGCCCTGACGTGTTCACAGTTCACTGCACGTTCAGCTGTACTAATGCAAGTTCTGTTTTATTGAGAGGGATCATAGAAATTACCTGAGTCAAAAGATAATTATTTTTGGAGGAAGACAAGACTGAGAATATACTATTTTTACTCAGATCAGAGTAGTAAAAATTTCATAGATCTGATTTATGACGACATGACAATTGCAGTGACACAAGTGGAAGAATGATGAAATGTAACATAATGGACAGTGAGTTGCATTCATAGAAAATAGACGGTACTGCACAGCACTGCTCAGGAACAGATGATGCCTGCACTGCTCAGGAACCTCCCTGATTCTCAGAAAGGTTTGCAACAGAAAACTGTTTAAGGAGGAGAATAGAATTACAATGTGACAGAATTACTTCTGGCATTCAAGTTTTAAAAAGTAATTTGGAAATAAGGAGGAAAGCACAGCTCAGATTTTGTTCTGAGGCACAGGGAGCATTTCAGGCAACATATGGTTTATTTTGCATTTTTAAATATTTAATTAGTTTTGTTAAATGCAAAAATTTAATCATTTTTCCGTCTTGCTTTATGGTATTTATAGCATGTTTGACATCTAAAAATTACATTTATCACATGGGTGAACAAACTCTGCTGTTGGAGAGACTTTGGTTTTGAAAAGGGATAGTGCCTTTTTGGTTTTGATGGCTGTCAGCATAGCTTGCTCCATCATCAGTATGTTTTTCTGTTACAGCCATTTTCTGTGATTATTTAACTTTTTTATTTTTTTTTTTCATACAACACTCTTTCGGAGCATATCGCAACTAAGGCACCAACTTCTGGTTTGAGATTGATTTTGTTAAAAAGACACAGGGGTAAATCAGTTAGCAATTTGTAATTGCTGATAAACTCTAAAAGAACATCTCGCCCTACTGGAAGAGTCAATCAGCTCTTGTTCTTGTACAGTCTGGTACGTACAGTTTAACTTTTCCCCTCTTCTACCACCATTGGCTATCATAGGATCATGAAATGGTTTATGTTGGAAGGGACTGATGGACATAATTTGTAACATGGCGAGTTATATCCATACTCATGTGCATACTAAATTAAAAGAAGAACAAAAGTCTTTGAATTCTTGGCAAAGTCACTAATTTCTGATTCTGCTAACAGAAAGCAGAACTAATCATTGGTGAAATTTTAACTTGTAAGATAATGAAGAGCCTGATTTTAGACAGTTAGGTCTTCATACTGAGACACTTCAGTTATCAGAAGGTTTTTAATAGTGCCAAGCATTTTCTAAGACACAGTGTAGAAATGTGCTACAATTTCAGACGACATGATCAAGTTTTAACTTAACAATATGTATATAAAATATTGCAAACATATTTTCAGGTGATACTAATGAGAGTTAATATCTTAAGAGCAGTTAGGGTACTACCATCACTAGTCAGTTGTGGTACTAGTGGCCAGCTATTTGTGCAACTGGTAAACTATTATGGAGCTATGGTAGTCATGCAGAGATTGAACATTTACAGAGATGTTACATTCAGATATGTTTTATTCCTTTCTCATAATTGCAATTTGCACCTTGAAAACATGTACAGGCAAGAAATAGCATACCATGCAGGTTGCATTCAAATACAGAGCTGTATCTGACATGGTCTAATCATACTGGGTTCTTAATATATTTTTAATTAAGCACTCTTCTATAGTTAAATGCAGATTAAAATTATATGAAATTAGAGTAGTAAAATCAGTCTGTATCAAGTAATAAAGAGAGCAAGAAACTCCCCTGTTTGAGCTGGAGGGTGCTGCAGTTGCAAGTACCTTGTTAGTTCTTTGTGGCTTTTTCATGATGAAATCGCCCTCTTAAATCCTTTTAGCACAGGTTTTTTGTTTCTTGGAGTGGAAAGACAGGAGCTCAGAAACATTTCATTCTGTCTTTGTGAAGAATACCAAAATTGTGAATAAGCAAAATATTAAATTACAAGATAAAAATAGTAATTTTCTTGAATTTATCAGTATACACTCTTGGCTAATATTCATCAGACAGCTTATTTTTCTCCTGTTCTTGAAAAGTTGAGTGGGAAATTTTTTTGTTGTAATAGAGCAGTTTTCATTGAATTGTGAAAGAATGATTTATCTATATTATTTTTAAGTGACTCTCCTATTTTACAAGTTTTGACTGGAATTCACAACTTTTGTTTTTAATACTGTGGAACAATTGACCAGTAAACACTAATACACATAGTAATTCAACTGCACATATAAGGATAATACAGAGCCCTTGTGAATACTGAGAACAATCAACTGACTGACAAGAAGAAAGGTGATTACGTTTAATTTATTAATGAGGAAACAGATGCAAAGATAAGTGAATGGCAGAGTATGGCCCCAAACATTCAAGCAAATTAGTATGAACCAAAAGCTGTTGCTTTTCTGCTGATCTGTGGTAACTGTCTCTGTCCATGATCTTAACCTACAGCACAAAGGGCTTGAGCTGATTTATTCTTCATTAAATAAAAAAATGTCTATTACTGACAGTGAAAGAGGACTAAGCCAGTTCCCATTAACTTGTGGTGGCTATCAGCTAAGAGTTACCATAAATCAACTGGTGCATATTTTAAATTCTAACTTGATAGTTACTTACTTGAATATCTGAGCTTGTAGCTTGTAATATAGCAGAAATGAGAATCCAGATATTTTGATTTAAAATTTGTAAAATAAATCATTGGATTATACCATGGCTGACAAAAATCTCCCTGATAGTAGTATTAAGTTGCAGCAAGATTTGAACTTAGCTATGATTTATTTATGGTTACAAAATGTCTTTTATCAATATGTTTCCTGAAGAGTTTGATATAAAGAAAAGGTAGAAGATACAGATTTGAGGGAGATGGTTGTGTAGGGAGGAGCCCCTAATTTGAAAAGAGCTGCCAGGTGGACTTCACTGAAAGTCTGTGATTCCTGATAATATGTTTGTGAGCCTAGCTAGAGAAATATATTTGCTTGAAAGTACCAGAAGATGAAGGTAAGTGTGGAAGATGATAAGACAGAATGTTAATCAGCATTGTAGCTTCTGGGTGGCAGCTGTTTGAGTTTTGGGGTTTTTTTAATCCACTATATAATCTTGTACTGATGGTGTATCACAAAGCAATACAGAAATATAGTCTCCTCTGGAAGCATACTTAAAGAAGGCATAGATCACTTGAAATGCTCCCTCTTGCACAATTATTGTTGTGTATGAGTTCAGTAAGTCATCTTGTGAACGGGCCAGCTGAAGAGGTAGATGGGGTTTCATTTTGGACATTGTTGGGATTCTCAAGGGCAGCACTGAGGGACCTTATCTAAATGGTTATCGAAGCAGCTGCAGCTGCATTGTCAATCTGATCAGTATTTGTTACAAATAGATTTTATATAATGTGCTCTTGGAGGAGCAGTTTTTATGGAGCTTATTTCCAGTGAATTGATAATGGGGAAGAATTTGATCTAGCCACCTGCTTTCTACTGATTTGGAGTTAGGTCATATCCTTGTCCCAGTAGGCTGACACTGGATGTTATTGCCATCCAGTCTCTCTGCCCCAGGGGCATGCCCTTTGACAGGTCTGCCTTTTAAAGTTCAATGGAATAGATATTTTCTAACCCTCTTGGGCAGAAGAAATCTCATCATTTGCTGATATCATCAGTCCAACAAGGTAACAGGCATCATTAACAGAATTCATTGTGAAGTGGCACCCACACCTCAGCATGAGACTGTAGCTGCTGCTAGCCTTCACTGAAATGTTTTGGGTATAGAGAGAGATTTTGGAGGAGACTCATCTTTTTGATGAGTTTCAGGATACTAACTCATTTCTTGTGGTCCTCGTGACCTGAAGAAATTCTGCTTTTGAGTGGCAAGATTCTAATATGAAACAGAGGGCTGTAAACCTTCTTGAACTGCTCTGTATGTATGTAAGGTCTGTAGGTACATATGTCTCTAACCAGAGTTAATATGTAGAGCTAATATTTCTCTCTTGGCTGTGGTCAAGAAAACATACTTGCCTTTTATTTACTCTTGAACTTTTTACAAAGAGAACAGTCATGATTCCTGGAGATAAGATTGGTTAAAGTGCTGCTTGGCTGTGAGACTTGAAGACTTGATGAACTTCAGCATTCCAGCAGTTTCAGGAATCCAAATCTTCAAAATGAATTATGGAGTTTATGGAACTGGACTAGAGATTCATTTTCCATTTAAGGAAATAATCTGGAGATTTGAGAAGCACTTTGACCTATATTTCAGTATTCTTCAAAATGCAGTTGTCTTTAAAA